GTTGTATTTTTGTAAATTTATCGAAACATTAAATTTTTTAGTAAAATGTCGCATCCTAAAGGGTTGTGCCATCATAGCAGACAGCTTTTTTCAACCTTCCGTCGTCTACAGTAACTTCTTGTACGTTTTTGTACATAATTAATAGCAGTGAAACTGTCCTCAAAAGGAGTCACGTGAAGAAGAATATTTCACAGTTTTGGGGAATCGATTCGACTGCGATTTGATCTAAAACTTCGACGAATCAATTAGGCTTGCGAGCGCTGATAAGAACTATGGAAGTTTTCTACCGCGATAAACCTCCATCACTTTTTAACTTCAATACAATCTATTATTTAATTTAGGTGGCGAGTTTAGCAATTTAGGGGAATTGACTCAAAGTGATACTTGGCACTGATATCATGGCCTGCGTTGATCCTGTTTCTATGGGTTCCCATGCAGTGATAATTATCAATTTAAACTGACTACATACCTAAGTTCGCTTTTTTCTTTGAATCCTGGGATTTTCTCATGCGTGTAAGTTATGTTTATCATAATTATTTAAAATATATATTACTAACCTTGTTTCATAACTTAAAACAATCATAAACTAAAACCAAGAAAAACGTCGACAAAATTAATGTTGAATTAGCCCTCTTTACATTCTTTTAAAGGTTTGTTTTTCTTCCCAGACCACCTGTTGGAGTACGCAAGATTGTATTAGCGACCAACATAGCAGAAACTTCAATAACTATTGATGACATTGTTTACGTTATAAATGCTGGCAATCACAAGGAAAAAATATATGATACAGGAAAGAAGGTGAATCAAATTATCAGTAAGAATAAGCCATATTTCCACCAGCCGGTACCGCTCGTCAAGGGCACTCGCCAAGACGAGATTTTTTCGCGCCATAGACATGGGCAAAATAGACTGGTCAACAACGTTTAAGTTATGTTTAGACTCAATGAACCTGATTTTCCAAAAATTAAGTAACCTTTATCTCGTTTGTTTCTTGGATGTTTTTGTAGCCTGTTCCAGGAGTTTAGTTTGTAAAACAGAACACGACTGTAAACGACGCGATAGTAGCAGGGAGTGAAAAAACGACAAACTTTGCTCGGTTTTTTGTTCATCTGCTAATAACGCGCCGTTTACAATCGCGGTCCGGTTTACGAACTGAATGCCTGGAACAGGCAAACGTTTTTCTGAGTAAATAAAGGTGGAAAGGCAGCATGGGTTTTCCGTGTATGCCAAATTCACAACATGAAAGTGACTGCTTTTAGTTCCTCTTGCGTCTGTGTGGATGTTTCCTAATAATAATCGATAGGAATCTCTTTTAGACTGTTTTCGATGAAATGTCGTTAAACCAAAACCAGAGAAATCACAACAACCAATGAGAAGAAAGGAAAATATCACAAGGAGCCAATGAGGATTGAAAGCACAGTATGTAAATTTCTTGAAGCGCGGGAAAATGCGAGTGGCTAAGTCGCAAATTCTTCAGAAAATTCATCAGCGCCACGTCACAAGAAAAGTATAAAGCTCGATAATAACGATTGTTGTTTGACGTCAACTGTTATTTGCTAGGTGTCCTGTTTGATGACGCACTGGACATCTCAGGCCAGTGTGGTTCAGAGGCGAGGCAGGGCTGGTCGTTGTCAACCTGGTTTGTGCTTCAACCTCTTTACAAGACAACGTTTTGAACATATGGGTATGTGTCTGTATCACAACAAGGATCGATTTTACTTTATTTTGAAGGGTGAAACTCAGAAAATTGTGAACTCTTTGTTTTGATTCTGATGGGTCAGTTGTGTGCTGCTACTACATTCATCGTAAATTGACGTGTGGCCGGTGCTAAGAGCTTGGTTTGTTTTCTAAGGGACTTCCCTGTTTTCAAGTTCTGCATTTGATTCACTGATGACTTTCAAAACAAACTCTGATCTGTTTGTGATTTTTCGCCCATTGTTTTGTTTATTTTTGTCACTTTTCATAGCCCCGTACCAGTCACCTGAAATGCAAAGAGTTTCCCTCGAGGAGATCGTCCTTCAAACAAAGGTACGATAAGAAGTATGCTTTCAGTTGGTAGTCGTTAAATCATTTTCCAAGGGAACACTAAGCTCTTTGCGTAAATATTGTAAGGGTAATATATTCTGAATAACGTTCGCAGATCCAATCTATAGACGAATCCTACTCCGTGCGGCAATTTTTGTCCAAGGCCTTGGATCCTCCGTCGCCATTTGCTGGTAAAATGATGTTTCTTTTCCTATATCAGTCAAGAGATCGTGCTCTTTTCGATTCAATCTAAGCTTAATGTAAATTTTAATGGAGAACTCCTCATGTACTACTGAACAGTTCAACTGCGCTGTTGCCTATGTTTTGAACGTTCTAACCAACTTGCTTGTGTCTCGAATTACAGTTCACAATGCAATAACACAGTTAGAAGAGATTGGAGCAATGGATACCAAGGTACGTTGAACTTTTAAGTACAGGTAACAACATGATTTCGAATGCAATTTGGTGTTAATAAGCACGAGTAAAATTTTCAAAGACAAGTTTTTGAAAATTTACAAGTGCTTATTTACATCAAATTGCACGAGACGAGTCAAGTTGTTTACTTGTTAATAATTTGCATGAGAAACGCATCACAGAAAGTCAAGACGGACAAAATTTTGGCAGCGCGCGTGTGCTATTTGTAATTTGCACTTGTGTTACAACTTTGCACCTGTGTTACATGAAAAATGCACTCGTTTTCAGCCAATCAGGCGCGCGTAATTTAAATTACTACAACAGTAACACCGGTGCTATGTAAAATGTTTTTGGTTCTAATTTGTTAGTATATCAGAAGTGAATGGCAAATTGTTGAGATTTCAGTTTATTACTACAATATTATTACGTTGATCAGTGAACGTATAATGAGCGCGTATAGTTTAATGAATGATGAAAGGAACAAGAACCTTTTTATTTGGTTTAATGGCAGGGGCTCGAGCTACTAATTAGGAAAGTGTGGCAGATTGTAATGTTAGCTTCGTTTTAGGGAAGGATTGAAGGATGTCTTAAAACACCGAAGATATTTTCATAAAGCTAATATCACTTCTCATTTTTACGACAGGAGCAATTGACGCCGCTTGGAAGACACATGGCGCATTTACCCGTCGAACCGCGAATAGCGAAAATGATTATATACGGTGCTATTTTCAGGTGAGTGGTAATCTGCACGGGGAAAGTGCCTGAGTGGTTCGGCTTTGCTTTATACTTTTGTCTTAGACGCTCCACTTGCCGAGACTCTTTGCTCGTAAGAGCTCAGTCTTTTAAAAGGAATTCTAAAAAAGTGACTGAATCAGTCAACAATGCTCTTCAGTTTATAGAAAGAGTTTTAGGTTCAACCTGCGCAGCTGAAGTTTCATTAGTGTTTGTCGACGCAACACTGTAGTCAGTAACCCTTGACACCCTTAGATATTCTCATGCATATTCTTTATACATTTCCTAAGGTGCTGGAAAGGAGAATCTCTTTAACAGTCGAGAGCCTCTTTAGTTGATGATCATTTCCCTTATTCTCGTGACATTAATATCGCTTAGTTTTTTCTTGTTCTCGCGTAGGTGCTTGGATCCGGTGTTGACCATTGCAGCGGGCCTCAATTATAAAGATCCATTTGTATCGCCGCTCAACTTACGAGAGCAGGCTGATCAGGTAAGATACTAGCTTTCTAGTTTCATCAGTTTCACATAAACTTCAAGACCAGAAAATGGTTAATAGTGATTATGGGAATTTGAAAATCTAATACATTTGTTATATCCGTACATGTGGCACGCTAAGATCGTACAATGCAACATCGACACTTAATCTACGGTGAGGAAAGATTCTTATCGTTTGATTTCTTGCCGCAGTCTCGCAAAAACTTTGCCGGCGACAGCAAAAGTGACCACGTGGCACTGCTGAATGCTTATAATGGTTGGTTAGAGGCCATGAGTCGATCTCAAGGGAAACAATTTGTTCAACAACGATTTCTTCACTGGGGCACTCTCAATATGATACGCGGTAGGTACCAGTTATCCACTTCTAGTACAAACGTTCTAAACGTTCCTTCGTCTAGTTTACTCATGAAAATGTCGATTACTCCCTTGTAGTTTCTCAAGGAAAGACTATCTTTCTCCCCATCCTGGTAGAAAAACCATGGCAATAAGCTTTGCGTGAAAGTTTCTGTTCCAAATTGAGATAACTGGGATTGTTTTGTGCCTGAAATGTTTTGTGTTTTCCTCTAAGCTCCGCTAAAGGTATGAAATTTAGGTGGTAATCAAGCGTTGGAGTTTCTCTGGCATCTTTGGCTGATCGTAAAGCGGTTACAGGGGAAAAGGGGGACATAGAAATTCTGAAACTACAAGCTCTGTGGACATATCATTTCAAAACTCTCTCTATTCTTTTTTATTTCATTTGACTCCCGAGATCGGAATAGATTTGCCTCTTCCTTAAGACCTTACATCTCTTTGTAGGAAAATGAGTAAAGAGAGTTTTAGAAGTTACGTGCGAGTCACGGTTTGATAGTTTAACGGTTAGGCCTTCTGTCACGATACTTCTTTTGTCTTCCTCTTGTCAATTTTATGTGTGAGAGAAAACCGAGTTTTCCTAGAGTGGAATGTTGTTGATATTCTCCTTCTAAGAATCTCATAAATCTTTCAACAAGCAGCGTGACTATTTGATCCTAAATACCTGACAGCAGCTGTATATTGACGTTATGTTTTTTCCGTTTAGTCTTGTATTTTGTCAATTACATTCAGTGTGTTATCACTCGTCAAAAATACACCTTTGTGTCGTATTTCAACTCATGTTATACTCTATCGCGTGTAGCACTTGTTTTACAAAGGCATGCCTCTCCTGTTTGATTTTTTTTTGGTCATGTTAGAAAACCTGAAATGTAAAGTATATTAATTTTTCTTCATGCTTTATCAACTTATGTCACGGGCGTGGAAGGGAAAGATCTTTGATAGTCACGCGCTTGAGAGGATGAAGATCCTTATGAGTTTAGCCGGTTTGCGGTGAGATGATCCAGCGCTGAGTTGCAAATAACGCGATTATAAGTTAGGCCATTGGTAGGTTCATATGTGACTTGCGCCCCTCTTACTGCCAGCATCACCGATGTCGAAGGCGTCGTGTGAGTAAATAGAATAAGAATGATAGTAAATTTGAAACTCACCCTCTGTTCGTGAGTTAAAATATAAGTAAAACTGAGATTATTGTGCAAGGGTTTGATAATATCGGGTTTACCAACACCTAAACCACGAAATACAGATTAGAAACGGTATTCCGGAAGGAAAAATTTTATTCCAGTGGACAAAACGAACGATAATTTAGCGATAATTATAACTTTCTTGGCACTCTTTGACGATGTCACACACACATGCAGCCGTCTAATCCTGAGTGGGATTAGAGGATGATCTAGGTTTTTGTAATGTAGGCCTGTCCCTGAAGTTACTTTCTGGTAAACCTCTACGCTTAAATTACCTATGAGGAAAATCTTACAGCACTGCCCTCTTGAGATAAAAGGTTGAAAATAAGAGAACTTTTCCGAACCGGAAGATACCCGCCCTGCGTTGGTGGGCCTACCTCTTCCTCTACTTTGACCTCGTCATTTTAACACTTTGAAGCATGTAACGATGATTGTCAACTCTGACTTTTAATGGTCCACGACTGAGTCAGCTTCGTCAAGCCATTTTTAAACTTGTGTCTCGGGCAAGTTACTCAACTGATTCAGTGAATGTTGAAAGTAACCAGACGGAAATATCGTCAAGTTTTTGACTGCGTATGTCTTCAAGTTTTGCGTTCCATACTTTGACACCGGAATAACATCTCCGTTTTTGTCTAGGGTGTATTTCCTCCCCAGTAATTTGAAAATAGCTGTTCGCACTTCTTTTGAACGAAAACAGTACACAAAAGGGTTTAAAGATGAGTTAATGTAGACTATCGAAGCCGTAATTTTGTAGATGATGTTCAGCCACAGGCTGCTCCCTTCGAGCAATCTTACCACAAGTGTAGTGATAAACGGAATATAACAGGCCAGGAAAAGCACAATTACGTAGAGCATCGTCACCGCGGAGCGTTTGAAGCTATGAATATTTATACCAGGTGGCGCAAGATGTCTCTGATCGCGAGTTTTATTCTGAAGTTTTCGCACTTGATGATAAATACTGGAGTAGGCAAAGATCACAATTGCAATGCTGTTCACGTCCATTACAAAAATGGTAAGCACAAGTATGTTATACGGGGCACCTAAAAGACGTGCCATGATCAAAGCCGTACACAGAACCCAGAAAAACATGACTACGGTCAAAACTCGCGGAATTGTAACCAATGCCTTGTATCTTAAGTGAAGTTTTATTGCCAGAAGCCTCTCAACTGAAATGGCGGATATGACCAAGAAAGAAACGCCAGCGCATACCCAAGCTAAAGATCCTGTTGTGGTAATCTTGGCGATGCAGAAACCGTCAGAATTTCTTCTTATTTCGAAGATCATTTGTAGAGCGTACATCGGTTGAACGATGGCGCCGACTAGCAAATCGGAGAGCGCTAGGCTACAAAGAAGCGTGTTTGACGGCGTTCGGAGCGAACGAGTTCTTTTCACGGCCATAACAACTAGAATATTGCCCACTGTCGACGTGACAGAGGTCAGCAAGTTCACTACAATGAGGATAACGTTAGTTATAAAAGTTTCCTTTGTGTGGCTCCATTCTTCTTTCAGATGATAGCACTGTATCTTCGTTGTTTGCGCTTCGACGGACGGAGAACTCATCGTGGCGTTTTGCATGACGGAAATGTTTACTTGTGGCGCGTGCGTCTTCTTATTCGAACAGCTTACGTCGCTGATGAAATCAAATGTCACTCATGCCTTCTGAATGTATATGGATATCAAATCAGCGACGGAAGCGCGGAAATCCTATCTCCTCACATGTAAACGAGACGAGAACTTACTCAACTTTCAGATGAAATTTATGACTGTTCTTGTCATGAAAGATTTCGAAAGTGCTGAATTTGTCGGCTGGGGGGGCAAGTTTCGGATTCTTAGGTAACTGCTATGCTAATTTCTATTGCTTATAATCGTAGCCGCTTTGCTGAATCCCCAGAGGTGTGACTGTGTTTCCTTTTGACACCAAACGGCGACAGATAAAAACATCCTTGCCAGACTGATGTGATCTTTGTTCTTTGAGGGAAAGTTCCGGCTTCAGAATTTCTTTCGAAACCAATCACTATATTTTACAAGACGTTTTTGAACTAATCCGATCAAAGGTTCCTACCTTTTAAAGTACCAAATGCACTTTACGTGTCTCAGATGGTTTTGAAATGCACCTCGTTGGAGTTCTTTCGTTATGACGATGATGACATAAGTAGGGGGCTTGAAGTAGTTCAATTTCTGAAGTTTTGTGTTTTTAAAAAGGCAGAGTCCTTCAGAGGCACGTTTTTCCAGAAGTTTCCTCGTCATCGAACTAAATGCTTTGCAGTAATTGGTCCGGTTGGTGCCAAAATGCCGGTCGAAGAAATTCCCTCTGCGACAAATCTCGTTTTTAAGAGTTTAGCTGGGATTCCGTTTTGAGGCATGTTATGAAAAAAGGACGAGTCCTTCAAGAATGAGTTTCGCTTGAGTTGAAAAGTAAGTATGGAAATTAATATCACCGCGGAGTCAAGTTTAGATTAAGTACATTTCTTATTTGCTTTGGCTATCATCAACTTTTACGCTGAACAAACATTGCCATAAGTCTGTGGCAGTTTCGATAGCGAGATGCTTATCAAGCCGGTAATAAAACCTTCTCTGTTTCAACAATTGTCACCCGTTCTCTTTTGCCTTCGAGTTGTTTTTACTTCTTGCGGTGCACCTGGCTATGCTGCGTGATGTATTTTGACTTACAAGGCGGTAATTAGATTTGTCAGCAAACGCAAAGAGCGGGTAATGCGGGCTAAAGACACGCGCGTTTGAGAAATATATCTAATTTTTTGTCTTTCTTCTATTTATTTTGTATTAATCTCCTTCTAATCGTTTTTGTTAGATTAAATGTTGTTCTTTGTCACAGCCTCCATGTTTACTTTTACTGAAGACAAAGGGCCAGCAGACTTCCACGAAAGAATTTCGTTCCAATAGTGTTACTTGTCAAAATTTCAATCGGGCAGTCTCTAATATCAACGGTACAATATGTGTTTTCAATTTATTTTTTATTTTATGGATTTATGATTCATACTAACCCGGGGTTATCTTCTTCGTGCCGATCGAAAGTGATGTGAATATTATGATTGTCCAAAAAGCAATAGATTGACTGCATTATTTATTCATGGCGTAACTCCAAATAAAAACTATATATTACGAAATGAAAGTGGAAATACTTAAAACTTGGTCACGTTACAATTTTGGCTTTCCCTCACGTCCCAATTTTACACTAAAGAACACTAAAAGTAATATGTTTAGAGTCTCAGCTGAACAAGCTTTATGCCGCGATAAAAAATTCAAAAATGAATACTCATATTTTCGCTCCATCCCACGCTCATGTCAGACATTTTTTTTGGAAAATCTTTCGTAAGCGTTTGATGCTCTTCTTGAAAAGGCAAACATGCACAAGTGGTTTGGATAAAGAAGGCCAATGTATGAGAAATAAAGAAAAGACAAAAAAAAGCAAAATAATTAAAAACACTCCAAGTCGAAATGAATGCTTCTCCGTATATTTCAATTACATTATGACCGTCTTTAGTTAAAGTTTTTTCCTTTTATTCTTTGTCTTTTCTTCATTTTTTAAGTTCTTGAGAGTTTCCATGTCCCTCTTTTTTTTCTACCAAAAAGTCCCTTTTGTTTGGGTTTCCTGTTATTTGAAAGTTAAATCGTCTTTCATGGCTTCAATACTGTGAGTCGATCACGAACGCACTTTCCCCTTTTTTGCATTGCAAGGTACGCGTGACCAATTTAGCCGCCTGCTTCATGACTCGGGCTTAGTTTCAAGCTCCAGCAGTGATGACACGGTCAGTTACTTTTCTGGAAACATGGAACTGGTTAAGGTAAGGAAGTTGTGTTGGCACAGTTTTTTGATTTATCAATTCCCATCTACGAGAAAAATATCCGTGTGAAAATTAACGTTGACGACAACTTGACAGCGACACGTTTCCGCAATAAAATTTGGCAAGCAATCGTAAGTTTTTCTTTTAACTATGAATTTTTCATTATAATATATAACATATGTCCTCTTTACGCTAATAGATAGTCACGTATGGAATTTTTACCTTAAATGAGAAGTAGGTCGACTTGATAATAATTTGACCATGTGCAGAAGAAAACTGTTTTGATAGCAGATTTGAACCGTTTTTGAGAAATGCCTGAATTTGTCCTCGGAAACATTCCTGTCGCTTTTCTATTCGTTTCTTATTTATTTAAGCTAGAAATAGTTTGTATCAGATCAAATTGTAAATTTCAAAGCCGGTTACTCATCTAAAAGCAAAATTAGTTGAGGTGGAAAATGTGCTGACTAGTATTCTGACTATCTAGCGTTTGTTCGTTAGTTACCTCAAAAAGGATATCTTCAATTCATTTTTTTTTCTTTTTTTTTTTCTTGAAACTGACTGCTCTGTGTCACGTTTGCGGCGAGTGAAGAGGAGCGAAGACGATAAGCGGGCGCTTAAAAACGGTGGTGTGCGGCTGTGCCCTCTGGCAAAAGTTTCGCTCGTCAGTCTGGAAGGAAGAATTTCCAAATGCTGGTCAAGTTTCCAGAGTGCAAAAAAAAATTTGCAATTTATTCAAGGAAAATAAGAGAAAAAAACCGTCGAATTCTTTACATTTTGGTATAATTTTCAATCAGTGTAGTTTCATGGAAATTACCTCTCTTGAACCTACTGAAAGTATGTATATCCGCTTAAATTCTTCGTACGTAGGCGATTTTATGCGCCAGTTTGTTCCCCAATGCTGTTAAAGTTGGTCTTGCCTTGGAGTCAAAAGGTAGAGGAGGAAAGAAGCGAGTCAGAGTTGGTTTTCGAACCAAGTAAGTGGAGCCTCCCCTAATCAAGCTAATTTTCAATTACAAATGTTCCTTGAAAAGGTTTTCTTTGAAGAGTTGACATCTCCTCGACTTTTTTTAAAGCCTTTTCACTGGCTTCATGAAAACATAGAAAAAAAGCCTTGTCCACGCGTTCAGTTAATAAAAAGAAGCGCGATAGTCGCGGAGGACCGAAAAAATCGAGCGAGGCTAGGTCTGGGGGCGTAATGATGTGACGCAAGCCTCTCTCCTTTTCGCTCTGTAGCTACAAAATTGCGCCGTTTACTATTTCGCAATTTTTTTCCCCAACTGAACGCCTGGAATAGGTTAATACCTTAGTGAGTGTTTTCAAATTTATCTGGGAAGTCGAATGAACCTGGTACCCCCAAACTGCGTTTGTGTGGTTTCCCCTTACCATGAGCAGAGTAAAACCCAAATTTGGTGGTAGTTTTTGTGGTATTTTTTTACTTCTTTGTAGATCTGATGGAAGAGTCGTATTGCATCCTTCCTCGGTAAATTCTGACGAGAAACAATTTCCTAGCCAGTGGCTTGTGTACCATGACAAAGTAAGGGAAAATTTTGTTGTCTTAACCATGCAACATCTTGTAAATGACGTGCTAATAAAAATGACGTCGTGTCGAGTCGCTGTTTCTCGCTTTTGACAGAAGTTGCTACCACAGCGATTTTTTAAAGAGAGAGAGGAGAAGTATATGAATGAAATGTTTAGAAACATTCTACACATCCTCGTCGGCCTTTGGTTCTCAAATGTTGATTTTTTTCTTAGGTGAAGTCCTCCCAAGTGTTTATCCGTGACAGTAGTATGGTTCATCCTGTTGCTTTGATCTGTTTCTCTGGAAAGGACGTAAGCGAAATTCATCAAGGTAATATAGTTATTCAATGCTTCATTCACCATCACTAATAATTCCTCAGTATCATCCACATCTCCAGTCTGTTTTTTCTTGATTCAAGGCTACCGACTTCATGCATTTTTTTTTTAATTAATTGACGGTGTTGTCAAGTTCACTTCGCTCTCTGATTGGTCCGCTAGTTTTTTGTTGATTAATGGAACGTTTGCGAAGTTTCAACCATCTAATTTAGAGGAACTTGTACTCTTAAATGATCCATGAGACGTTTGTTGGTAGTGTTATTTGCTATGCGGCATTGTTCTGAATCACCATTAAGGTCACTTTAGCTCTGATTTCACGATGCTCAAGTGTTGGCCTTGAGACACAGATTTTAGGAAGGATTAAATCCTACTTCGATTGTATTTCAGAGCACGGCCCTTCAGCACAGCAGCCCCGTGTTACACTGGTGGTGGATGGGGACCACTGGATGGCGTTTTACTGTACGCCAAGGCTGGCCCGAGTGCTGCAGTCCATTAGACGGGAGATAAACAAGATGATGGCTTGTAGTCTTTCAGCTGCAGTTACAGATGACGCGCTGTTTTACTACCACGGCAAGTTGATGGAGACTGTGGCCTTGTTGCTTACCCTGCCAGTACAGAAACCTCTCTCATCTTCCCCTTGGTAGCAATGACTTCTGTGAATGCTGAGGTCACGGTGATACTGTCAGTAGTGCTCCAAAGAACTCGAGACGTTTGATACTCCATTTAGGTGTCGGTCAGTGCAGCTCAAGCATAGTTATTTTCAAATCGCCAGACGAGTAACACTGAGCTGCGCAAACCGGCACTTTAACGATAGAACCAGAAACATCGTCATACAATCTCTGTAAGGGTATGATTCCATTGACTCCGACAATTAATCTCGTAAGATTTTCTCAGAATGGAAAGTACACGTAGTGTTATACATCAGTATGGAAACTTATCATCTTATTTTTTGGTATTTTGTAGAATCATATCTTTATTTCCTTTATCCAATGAAGATTAGATTAGAAGTATAATCCTTGGGCCGATGAATTGGGGTTTAAGAAGCTCTTTTGAGTTTGCCAAACTTAAAATACCTTGAATATATCTCTGGCTTTTTTTGTTGTTCCCAATAAAAACAACAGGTTAGAAAAAGAGCCATAAATATCAGAGTTACTTCGTGAGAGTTTCGTCACCAGTCCATAGTCCCTTTGCATTCGGTTTACCAAGCTATCCTAATTCCTGCTTGGTTCATTTTTGCCGTTTTATAAATTTCATTCTTAATCAATAAAAGTTGCCTCTTCACACGAGTTCACTGCCTCCGGTGATGTCCTAAATCAATCCTGTGGGATTTAAAATCTGTATTTGTATAAACGTTTTCTTTTGATTCAATAGGTTGCCACTGCTGCACATCACTCCAATGAAACCCCTAAATATTTTACAGTTCCATTGAACCTGGAACGGGGGTACCCCCTATTTGAATGGCGTTCAGTGGGAGGGGGGGTAGAGTCACAGGGGGGGCTCATGAAGGGTTCGTTGCTTTCTGTCTAAACTGATCACGTTCGATATTTCTACGACTTACTAGTGCCCTTTTAGTTAATTAGAGAAGACTAGATCTCTCGAGACAGATTTTTACTGTTGCTTCTACTCTTTTGTTGTTTATTATTCTTGTTTTAGTGTTCATTGTCGTAGTTGCTGTAGACGCTTTGTACCGTTTTGAATATTTGTTTGTTTTTTGTCAAAACAAAAATCTCGGCGTTTCAGAAGGATTGGTTAGTGACTTATGCAGCGGGAAGATAGAATCGCAAAACTTACGTCTTCTCAGCCGCGTGACATGTTACAGCCTCCACATGGGGAGAACCATTGCGTGACAGACTAGCCATAGACACAAGATGCGATTTAAAGCCTGTTCAGGTAGAGAAATCTAATAAAAGCCCGAGAGGGGTCAAATGACTTCAAGTGTCGTTTCCTAGTACTTTTTGACATTCCCTTACGGACCCTTATTATAATCGAAATTTTGTTTTCCTTGGCCAATATCCAAAACTCAAGCTGTGTTCGATTACCGATGGTTGGTTAGAATTTCTGTAATTTTTTCACGCAAACATCTGCTCAAACGTAAAAATTGCGTGATCACATACATTAATTGCGGCTAAAGTTAATCCGTCCTTTTATGACCAAAAGTTGTATACACAAGCATATTTTCACTAAGTCTGTACTTGGTTACTTATCCATAATGATTTTAGGTTAATTTGATTGACAAAAGGTCCAAGTGAGAGGTAAATAATATAAAACACATACCGGAAGAGCAGATAACCGTAACACCTCGTTGCGTAGCAACTTGAAACAACACCACACGCGTGCAGTTAATGAATGCACACTTGTGATGTCAAAATGTGAAGAGTAAAACGTTCGGATTTTAACGTATCTGGCGATAGGTTAGCACCTCGTTCCGAACAGGTTTCGCTTGGCTTTGAGTTTCACATCCTTTCAGTGTAACTTCTTAGTTGTCTATGGCAGCATTGGAATCTCGAAAGTGTGGGTTTTTCTTTGAACGAACCCAGTCTTAAATAGCTTAAACAACTGTTCGTTCGCTCTTCCGGCGAATTGACATAGTGTAATTCTCTTAGTGCCGGGAAAAATATTTCCTATCTCGTCGATTCGTCGCGATGTTACAGTCATCGATAAGGATTTATATCAAAGCGGAAGAGAGGTGAAGTTTTCTTCGACACTAAGAAACAACAAAAGAAGTCTGTTTTGAGCGAAAACAGAGACAGTAAGCGAAACCGATCAAAGATGGCGGCCACGAAGATAAATTTTGCCGTACGATCTGATCACGAAGTTAGTCAAACATCAAAGAAAGTTACTTTCTTTATCAACGGGGATCGTAACTTTAAGGGCCAAGTCATGGTAATTACTCCAAGGCGATTTCGAAACGTGGACATGCTTTTGAATGAGTTGTGTCGTCTGACGCACTTCAAAGACTTACCCCTGGGAGTCCGGTATCTATTTTCCCTTGAGAGTGGCATCAGGGTTGACACATTGGATCAGTTAATTGACGGGAAAGCTTACGTATGCTCTTCACACTCAAGCCTAAAGAAGATTTCATACGGAGGAAAGCCTGCCATCGCCATCTGGAGCTCAAAACAACACATCGATCTTCCTGATATCCAAGGTATGCATCACAGCGAGCCAAAACGCCGGCCTGTCGGTGTTACGCCGGTAAGAGGTGGTGTATCTTCGAGGAGACGGGGTTACTCCGACCCAAGATCAAATCCAGGAGACAACAATCGGTTGATCATCAAACCTAAAACAGTTCAGGTGATTAGAAATGGGTCGCAGAAACCCCGTCCGGTAGTAACAGTTCTTTTAAACAAAAGAACAGCGCAGAATTTAGAGCAAGTTTTGGACGAAGTAAGCAATTCGTTTGGAAACACTGGTGGTCTTAGCCCACCGCGGAAACTGTACTCAACATCGGGTCACCAGATTCGCGATGTGGTTGAGTTATTTCGGGACGAAAACAATATATTTATAGCCGTTGGAAGCGAGAAATTTAGCCGTGACGACATCACGGATATCATAGAGGATTTTGAGCAGAGGAACTCGAAAAAAGAAAATGCGAAACGAAAACAGTCGAGAAGTGGTAACGATGGAATGTCACAATCAAAACAAAGAAATACCAAAGAACACGAGCAGCTGGTCGGTAAATCTGTTCACAAAGCCGAGGAAAACAAGCTGCCTAGGCTTCCAGACATACATGAAAAGGTCGATAATAAACAAAGGCCGGAGAACAATAACAGAACACACTTGCAAGGAAACTCAAACCCGAAACGCGTTCATCGTGCTAAAAATGTGCATGAAAGAACTGCCGAGAAAAAGCCTGCAAACTCTGTAAAGTTGCCCCAAATCGGGAACGCTAATTTAGTTTCAAATTCGGAAAAGGAGAATGTAGAAAACCGAGACGTTTCTCGAACGAACAACGAAGAAAATGACCGAGTTAACGAATCGAATAAGCCATACAACGTACGCGGAGAAGACGCGACTAAACCCAGTAGAAAAGTGTCCGTAAGTAGAAAACGTGAAAACGATAAAGTTGACAGAAAAACCTCAAAGGATGACAGTGGAATAACATCAGAAGAGGAGGCAAAATATGGTACTGTTACAGACAAAACTGTAGAAGATGTCTACGACATGGGCAAGAAAATCGGAGACGGGAATTTTGCTGATGTTCGTGTTTGCAGCGATAAGATAACCAAGAAAGAATTTGCGTTAAAAATCGTCGACAAGGCAAAAATAAGAGGGAAAGAACAAATGATTCGGGACGAAATAGACATCATGAGAAGATGTAAGCACCCGAATATTGTACGAATGTACGAAGATTACGACTCAACCAGGCATATTTATCTTGTTATGGAGTTAATCAAGGGAGGTGATCTCTTCGATGCAATTTCATCGTCGGTCAAGTTTACCGAAACTGTCACCAAAAATTACGTCAAAGACATCGCAAGGGCACTAGCTTATTTACACAAGAGAAAGATTGTGCACAGAGACTTGAAGCCTGAAAATTTGCTGGTTAGTAATAAAGCAATTATTGTTAATTCACGCTGAGCTACGGACTGTGAAAATACAACCGATGACTAATTTTTACTAATGTCAATGCTAAATTGTTGGAGAGTCAAACATTTAGCGCCTAAATGTTGCTATTGTGTTTCGAATACAAAGGCAGGAAAATTCATCGCCGCTATGTTTTGAAATCAAACAATAGTGACGCCTTGGTTATATTAAAAAACGCCGACTTTGTTTGAACAAATTTTAACAGCTTAAAAGTGTAGTGAGAGAAACCATGGCAACTTCATGCCTCCTGCGATACCGCTTAATTATGGCCAAAATGCTCCGAATTTAACCGTTAATTTTAGTCATTTTGATCGTCATGCACTATTTCATTCACGTAGAATTATCTTTCAAGCGTGTCTCAATTTCTTTTCCCGGCGGAAATTACGGAACAATTTTTTAGTTAAAGAACAACGGAGCCTCATGACCCTCTCGTGAAGCAGGGTCTCCGGTCGTAAATGTTTACAAGGGAAGATCAGCAATTTCCATTCATGCGTCATTTCTTCATGTGTGCCCGGGTGTGTATTTTGCCAGACTTCGCGTAGTTTTCCTCCGCGTAAAAGATCAATGGTTGGGTAAATGAGCACCTGCTAAACTTAACTTACAACTGTGACTTTGATTATCTGGCATGAGTGACTTAGACTAACACGTACTCGCGAGAATTCTCGCGCGAGAGCCTTGGTACGTGTTCTAACATACACACTTCTTTCAGCGTTATTTGCTTTTCTTCCTCGTTCTCGTTTTGGCTTTCTTTGCATGACTCACAGGGAATGTTGCACGAAACATTTTTTCCAGAATTACACAGTATTTATAGATGAAGGTATTAGGGTTCCTTTCTGTTGTTTATTCTGAAAATATGTTAGCAAGGAGACTGACGGAATGCCTTATCTTTCTCTTATGCAAAAATGTTTCTCAACCGGTTCTTTTGTTTTTACCCATTGTTGCTCGGTAGGAGTTTTAGAAGCAAAAAGAATGTGAAAACACGCGCAACTTGATTTAAAGTTTCTTATAGTTATTCTTACGTGTAAATTGTATTTTGTTTTGGGAATGGTGGTTTATTTCTCCTTTTTTTTTTTAAGCATGTTTATCTTTCGGAAATATTTTCTCCCTCAATAAGTGAAAACTTCATAGTATTGTTGAAGACAGGATAAGAAAAGCAGTGATGTTTTCCATTAGTCATGGAAAGGAATAGACACCTTCGCAGCCGTTCTTTGGGATGTTGCGCAACGCTACCCTTCTTGGTAGAACATTGCGTGACATCTTAAAAGAGACTAGAGTAGGGTGGAAATGGGGGGAAAAGAAATCTCTTGGAAGTGATATCTCCTAACATGTAATCTTAACCTTGTCTTAGGTCCACAAAAAGCCCAGTGGTCAAGTAATTCTTAAGCTGGCTGATTTCGGGTTAGCAATGGTCGTCAAAGCACCGATCTTCACAGTTTGTGGCACTCCCACATATGTAGCACCCGAAATCCTTGAAGAGACTGGATACGGGCTCAAGGTAGACATGTGGGCCGCGGGTGTCATCACCTACATCATGCTCTGTGGGTTCCCGCCATTCCGCAGCGCCAAGAAAGACCAGGATGAACTATTCGATCTGATCATGGACGGGGACTACGAATTCCTCTCACCCTACTGGGATAACGTCTCCAGCGAAGCTAAAGACTTAATTTCCAAGCTCCTTGTCGTGAATCATAACAAGCGTTACAGCGCTGAGGAAGTGTTAGCTCACCAATGGGTGGGAGGCCCTGCGGACGTCTCTCTAAGTAGGGAGTATCTTGGTCAGAATCCCGCCGCTAAGAAGAAGTTTAAAGCTGCTGCATTGGCCGTCCAGGGAATGAAGAGATTTGAGAACTTGGCGGAGCAGTTCCAGCGTCAACGAGGGGAGAAGATTATCATCACGTGACAAGTTGGAATCTAATTTGCTACTGTCTGGTCAATTCATTCTCAGCACTAATTGGCGGAAAAGGTACAGGAGACGAGGTAGACCCCAGTGGCATTAAATATGACGCACAGAAACATAGTAAACTTTTGAAATGAAAACAAACACACAAACAAAACTCACCTTGATCATACATAGCTTGCGCAGAAGATCAACTTTTTCCCGCAATCTCCTCGTGTAACTTTGTCTGAGTCCGTTGGAGAATTGAGCAGTTTTTTAGAACATTTAAGAGTCGATCCATGTGGCGGGCTACTTGAAGCATTCGAATTAAGTTATTTCATCTAACGATTTATAATCCGATTTGTTATAGTCTTTGCATGGTTCTTGGGAACTTCTCACTTCGTTCTTACTCAGGAAATTGTTCGTTTGTAGTTACCATTAGTGAAACGATTGTTTCTATTTTGACATCGCAAACCAAATCTCAGTTTGATTTGACCGAGGCATGGTTAGTTAATTGTTGGATATTGAAGCAAGATAAAGAAAATTACATACTTATCAATCGTACAATCCATATATGATAGTTAATCGATACTCAATTCTCAATCTTTATAACTAACGTATTCATAATTATTTCATACTAGTGCATTATAAATAGTATTTAAACGTTTATAAATCTTTTCGTATAGAAAATGTCGAGCAAATATTTTCAATAACTTAGCAACATGATCTCGCAAATAGTAATTATTTGAAATGTGTGAGTGATCATCTTACAATAGTATCGATTGATTACTCCAAGATATCTGATATGATTTTCTGTGTTCCTATCCTTCTCTGAATGAACTCGTTCTGTCTTTTGTAAGACTTGTTACTCACCGTCAAATTTGGCATCTTTATTGGAAACAACATTTGTTTTCAGAAACTTTCATAAATTAGCAAAGCAATTTTTAAGAAAATTTGAAATTACTATTTGAATACCCTGATTTTTGGAATTTAAATTATAAGCATATCAGAATTTTAAAGCTCATGAAAGTGTATCCTCTATTGTACGAACAGAACTTAAGGATGTATAGTTGTTGGGGCATGATCAATGATGCAAATGTGGGTGATAGTTGTGCAAATTAAAATTGATTGATCATTTACATTTGGAGCAAGTTGACTCTCGTGTGGCTCAAATGTTTAACCTCCCCCCCCGCTCCCCCGCTTGAAAGATCAGCATGTACATTCTCCATAGTAGTCTTTGTACTTTTCCTATGGCATTTACAAATATAATATGGTTAAAAGTCAAGAAATTGCAAGGTTTTGCGATCATCTCTCTAATTCTCACGAGCCCAACATTTCATTCAGCGATAATACCTTAGTGAGAAATCATGTGTTGGTCAGCCTCAGGGGTTAAAGGGATTATTCATTGAATCTTAGATAACGTCGACACAACTGAGAACAAGACAACTGAGATAAAAGCGCTGCTATTACCCAAGAACTGATTTGATATTCTTAATCTTGCGTTTGTTAAAATTTCCAAAAATATCAATTCCTAAACGTAAAATTTCTAAGGCCTTTGCAGGATGAATTCAAGCGAAATCTTAAGCAGGGATCAAGTCAACTGAACTTTGCTGACGGAGGGAAACTGCATTCGCCGCTTGCGGGTCGAAACAGAAGAAGTTGATTTGAGTCAGAAAACAATTGGAATGTCAGACGTTTCATTATTGAAAATATGAAGCAATATCGTAGGAGTAGCGCAAAAAAAACTAACTAATGCAACCCGTTTGGTCACACTAGATCTCTTGTGAAGAGGGATTGGGCGAGAGCGCTTGGAATCAATAAAAGCACAAACTTTTCTCCTACGCGTTTACCTTCGTTCTAACACAACCCTGCAATCTCCTCCATGATACTGTAATTCCCAATCGTTTATTGCTACTTTTGTTAAATAATATCTGAGGCAGGTTTCAGGAAAGAGCTTGCCATTTGTGCGAAACACAATCCTCTTCCAGATTGCTTTGCAATCATTTTGCAACACAAGTTTCTCGTAAATTTATCTCTTGAAAAACCCTTAAAATGAACTTTATTCTCAAAAGTAGTTTCTTTATCATTTACAAAGGTTATTTGATTGCACCCCTCAAATTAACCTCAAAATCTGGTTACAGATTGTCATTTCGGCTGCTAAATAATACATTAGTCTGAATATATCCATAAGAAAACTTTGGTCCCTTTTAGGGAATTTTCCACCAATTATTGGTTTATTGCCGCTAGTAAATGACAAGAAGTTTACTTTCATCGTTTTGGTCAATATTACTCTGTGTACTAATCGGTCTTAAGTGTTGAGCTTAAGAATAAGTTTCGAGTTTGATATCAGGAATTTGATAAGTCACTTCTCCATCGTTTCTGAGGAAGTCGTCATCATTGCTATCAAAGTGAACCCTTTGAATGAGCGAGACCAGTCGATCGACTTTGTCTTTCAACTCTGCTGCTTTATCTATTTTCTTTCTCTTCTTGTACAAAGGCTTCTGTAGATGCCTCTCAGAGAATACTCGATTTTTGAAAATCGATCTTGACGTAAGACCTAACCAGTTCATAAAATGTTCCGTCATGAAGTCCACGATCTCGTACTCGTTAGACTGAAGGTCGTTGTTACGTTTCACTCTCTTGAAATTCTCCACGATAATTGACAGGAACATGTTCACAAGAATGAAGACCACGCCTATACTGTAGAAGAAGAACATCATCGGGCCCAGCACCCTGTTGGCTTTTTCCAGAGTGACGTAACTAAACTTTCCGAGCATAACACTGATAAGGGTCTCCACCGTGGTGACAAAAGTGTGAAATTTGTACAGCTCGTGCGAAAATACCAAGTAACACAGGTGAGAAAATCCGACAAAAACCAGTCCAAAGATGATTCCAAAGTGAAGGAGCTCCTTCGCTGCGCACTTGAGAGTGGATCCGAGAAGTGACATACGGCGGTTAAACCTGAAAAGTCGAAGAAACTTCACAGATATCATGAACACAACAAACGCATAAACGTAACCAAATAACTGATCGACGAGAGCAAGATGGTGGAAGTTGACGAATTCATTGGGGTTCTCTCGAAAAGTCTTTTTGGTGAACTTGTCCAGCGCGAATCTGATGAAGTACAGAGCGATACTTGTCCAGGATAGACTTAACAGAGCTATCTCGATCCAGGTCCAGAACGCAGTGAGGTATTCTTTCAAATCCGTCTTTAGAAGTCTTTTGAACTCGCGGTAGGTGAAGATAATGGTGAAGACAACGAAAGAAACTTCACATATCAAGACAAAGAGAAGAAAATTTCCAACGTAGCGGTCTATACGTGTTGATAACAACTGAATAAAGGGAACTACACCACCAGCAGCCGTGAACTCCAGCAGCAAGTTCGCCACGCAGTAGAGATTGCTGTATCCATTGTAAACAGTGAACTCGACAAATACAGCGCGCGTGTATTTGTCGACCCAGTTGTTTGATTTCAAGTCACTTATTACAGTTCCAGCGCCATCTATTGTTGACCCAAAGTCTGCTTTATATCCCCCTCCGCGATAAAGTGCAAGATGACCCAGGAAAGGTCGGGATTTCAGTTCAGTTGTACCCCTGTAGCGCCATGCGCTGTACTCTGGATAGGAAGAAGCATTTTGATTGGTCAGTTTCCAACCGGGCGCGTATTGAGGGGTCCGATCCTCGGAGTCCCAGGAATACTTATCATCACAGGCATCCGGCATGTGAACATTAAAAGCACTTGCAACTTTACATGTTCCTAAAAATGATAAAAAAACAAATTATAAAAGCTCAATGCTTTTTTTCCCTTCCTATTCTGCAATTTTGGCTGCTTTGAGTAGCATTACTGTGGTTAACTGTCAACTCAGGTATCAGATAGGAAGAAAACTTGAGCGGGAAAGACAGGAGACGTAGGATCAAACGACCGCAAAGTTGCAAAACCAATTATTCGATCGGAGTGAAACTCGCTAAAACTGAGAACTGTTTCAAAACCAATGAGACAGTTCCTTAGTAGATAAATGGATAAAGGTAGGAGGAAGGTTTCTAAAGAAACTGTGGTACTGATTTGGTTGGGGGTATTTCAATATATAATTTGGTTTTATCAATAGAGTTGATTGTGTAAATTGGCCACCGGAAAGACATTATAAAGGTGACGTTTCGAGCGTTAGCCCTTTGTTACTAAATGACAAAAATTCCCTTGATAATTTGTTACGGAGTCACATCCGATTGGCCAACAAGGTAGGGCTGATTGCTTAACACTGGTTTTGGAGACTTTTTAATTGCCTTCAGTCAAACAAAGAACTTTTCGCGCTAATGAAGTATTAGTAGCTCGTACTATTCGCTTTCAGACCCGTTCAAAATATCCATTAATGAATTAAGTACCGAAACAACTAGTAACTCCTCTCTGTATATCTCGACAACTTCGTTTACGTTTCTTTCCTTGTAAATTCTCTACAACTTCAACCTAAAATTGCAAAAATATCAGTTTCTTACTGAGATTTCAGTCACCTCAGAACGGAAAAATTTATTCCTGCAAAAAAAAAAAACAAAAAAACAAACCAAAAACCGAAAGAATCGAAAATGCAACTCTCGCAAACTTTAGGTTCAATACGGTATCTCTTCACTAGCTCCCTGTTGACGACGCAAACGCCTTCGTTTCCTTACCGCTTTTAACACGCAGCTGTCTCATCCGGGCAACGCCGACTACAAATGACATCTTGTCATTCAAAAAGCCTGCCCGTCCAGACTTGCCGTTGTACCAGCCATTGTTATAGAGACCTGGGACGAGTGTCTGTTCAACCCATTCCCAAAAGTCGTTCACATTAGAAACCTATGAAAAGTAGTTAACGTAAGGGAAAATGAGAATTGTTGTAAACTTTTTCTCCCCTGCGGCAAGTTATAATTAAACTTAAATCAAACCCCTGATTTTGACACTGGTCCTTTACCGCAATCAAAAGATCAATAATTTTTCAAAGGAAGTACTGATTAATTGTATAATCCGTTTCCGCGGTACGAAAACTATCTAAAAATTTTCCACGCTGCAAACATGTGGCTTAATTGTTTAGTGGGTAGTGATGCCCAATCAACAATAGAAGTAGTAGTGCCTACCAATGGCCTGGCATGGGTTAAATCCGTCGATGGATAAAATCCTAACGTTAGCGACAAAATGAGAAAAAAAAATTATTTTCTTGTCCTCTCAGTTCTGCCGTTTGTGCGCCAAAACGAAGATTTCACTCACGTTGTGAACAAGAAATGTTTTGGATTTTTTTCCTTCAAGGTTAATTGAACGATCAGAGGAAAAGAAGGTAAAATCATAGCTGATATTTGCCGTTTGCCATTCTCATAAACATCATGTTGTAACTCACAATCTTTTCAAAGACAAAAAATTCTCTGTGTAACATGTACTAACCTCGTAAAGTTTGATGTCGTTGTTCTGTGAAGCGGTGCTCCTCTTGACGTCGATTTTGTCTTCATCGCGATAACCGAGAGAATCGTAGTTACCAACGAAAAGATTTTCCATGTTTTGTGTCATGTGGTGTGCATACGGGTCTCTGTGGGCGTAGGCTATCAAAAGTACCACCCAGACAAACAGGAAGTAAAATACTATTTCCCGTATGACAGAGTGCATCTTCCGCTCTTTAAACAAACGGACTCGTGCAACGTTTAGCAGTACCTGGAAAAACAAATGAAAACTGAAATCAGAATTACCAAGGGACAAATTTTTTTCAGAGTAAACAATACGCACATCTGTCAGGATAAGTGCCTCATTAATTTCAACTTTGCTAAGCATTAAGATAAAATTGAATCAAACATAATTCTAAATGTACGATTTTATACAAGATGACTCAAAGATGATTTTCATCTCAAGCCTGGATAATTAAATGCGTACCAGAGTTTAAACACTTATGCACTGAAAGCGAAGGTACGCACACCAACTGGGGAGATAGCTTCCAAATCTTGAGGCGCCAGATATTCTTTAATGCGACATGTCGTGCACGAGAACTTTCGCGTATGAAACCTTTGTGTTTAAAATTATGAAAAGACTTCACACGCCAGCCATTTATTAACTACCAACGTCGTATACAGCACTTGAATTTTCAATCACAAGAGCAGCAGTGAATAGTCACAAAGTTGAATTTTC